GCCCGAGGGGCTGGGAGAGGGTCCGGCCCACGCTGCGCCTGGGCTGGGACTGGTCCCGCCGGCGCAGGTAGCAAGAAGCTCTCCACACACTCACCGGACCTGGGCTAGGACTGGGTCTGGGGGTTCCCGGAAGTCGGCAGAAATTCCTACTTGGTGGGAGGGTGGGCTAGTTTTACTATAGTTAGCATTTCTTCCCATTTTTAAAAATTATGTCATTGATACTGTACCTACTTGTTGTATCTGATTTTTTAATTAATTATTTTTCAGATAGGATCTCACTACATAGCCCAGAACTCATGGCAATCTTCTTGCCTCTGCCTCTCAAGTGCTAGAGTTACAGGCGTGTGTGCCACTATGCTGACTGTATCCTAATTTTTCCACTTAATGTTTTATAAGTTTATTCCATATTTTTTGTTTTTTTTTTTATTCATTTTAATGAGAAAAAAGATAAAGTGGCAATGAAACAGTTTCAAAACAGCTTAGTAGGACAGTTACAATAATTAATACATTGTATTATTCCCATATAATTTTAACATTCTTAAAAACAATGATTTTTTTTTGGCTCTCCCATTGTTCTGTTGGCGAGCCTTGGGTACACTTAACTGGTGCTGCCCACAGTGCAGATGTGCTGCACTTGGAGTGGGCTCTAGGTGCTGAGCTGGGTGCCTGGCTGGGTGGTGGCTAGAAATGCCAGCCACTCCGCACCACTCTACTTTTCTTTGCTTTTTCCTAAGATTTAAAATTTATTTACCTCAGTAAAGAGATAAAATTTAGTGCAAGAAATGATTTTGAGAATGCAGAACATTTCAAGTATGAATGTTAGCCATGAATGGTGGTGTGTTCCTGTAATCCCAGCACTCAGGAGGCTGAAGCAGGAAGACTGCTCTGAGTTTGAGGGCAGCCTGGGCTACATAGTGAGTTCAAGACCGGCTTGAACTACATATTGAGAATGTGTCTCAAAAAAGAACAATAATATCCAAACAGGTATAGCTTTCCTAAGATAGTATTTGTACTCAATAAACTGCACACCAAGTGTACAATTTGGTGTTTTGACACATATATACACCGTGAAACTCACGGATGCAGTCAAGGTCAAAAAGTTGCTTATTCTTTAAAAAAAAAAAAAGTTGCTCCTTGTCTTTGTGATGCCTGTTTCTCCACCTCTCTTCAGCTCCCTGCCCAAGAAACCAATGACAATGATTACTGTTACCATAGATTTACTTTTATATTCTACAATTTTGTTAATGGACCCATATGCTTTTTTTTTTTCCTCCTTTGAGCCAGGTGTGCAGCACTTCGTCCAAGGGGAACCACCTTTCTTTGAGGTCAATTTGAAAGAAATGTATTTGAAGTTTCTCTAACAAGTAAACATGTACATGATCCAGCCATTTCTTTTCATTTCCTGATATTTACCCAACAAAAATGAAAACAGATGAATAAGTACACTGGAATATGTGTGCAATGAAATACTACGCAGAAATACAAATGCAGA